CAGAAGGCTCGGTTGTCATCCTCCAACTTATGATATCTGGGGCGCCGTCCTGACATCTGGCTGTCCGTGAAGCGTCAAGTGTATACGGCAGCAGTTTGGCCCGCACTACTGTACGGTACAGAGACTTGTTCATTACGGGAGCAAGATAAAAATGTATTGTCGGTGTTTGAAAACCACTGTCTATGCTGTTTAAGTTGCATTGTACTGGTCTGGTGGGGCAATTGGACGATAACTGTTGAGGTTTAGGTGTAGAGTTTCATGTAATCGCGGTCATCCATTGGAGCAAGGGATTTACCTCCATAGGTTACGCTGATTGGGATTTGTGTTGCGCATATCATCAAATAGGTTTCCACAGCGTGCAATGTTTGCCGAGGCAGGTAGTAGGTGGAAACCGTTAGGGGCTGTCAAACTAGGAACAGGCATGAGGACATGACAACCCCAGCCAGTACTGTGAGTCACGTTGGTACCGTTAGACTCCTCGAGATCATGTTAACCGGTGGTTAGAGACACTGAGTGCTGTGGCTGGGTGTTGCCAACAGTGGCGACCGTGCATTTGCTCATTAGAATTGCAACCCCAGTTTATATGAATCCTCTATCTTCTCGTTGAATTTGTTCTCAACATTCTAATCCTCATTCTGCTATCTTATTCAAATGGGCGGCCAAAAGACAGCAACCAAAATAGGCGCATAAAAGTGCATGTTTAATGGTTGTGAAAACTGAAACTGAAACAGTCCAAACATGGTCTGTGGAATGGGGTCTTCCACTGAATACAGCTGAGTGTAAGATCCTGCTGACCCGGAGCAATAAGTCGGCTGAGCCACGCTACAAAGCAGTCAGTTAGGGGAGACCATCAAAGTACTGCAAGAGATCGGCGATCTAGGAGTCGACGTGAACTCCACTTTCATATCCACTAACGTCTGTTTGGTTACCGCTCTCACGGACAATAAAGCGTTCAGGTTGAGGAGGACTAAGGCGTCCAGGTATCCTGTAGTACTAGTCCCGCTCTATATGGCCTTCGTTCGCCCTCACCTAGGGTACTGTGTGCAGACCGGGTCCCCAGCTCTGAATAACAACCTGGTGGTTCTGGAGAGAGTTCAGCGACGGTTCACACGCATGTTCCCGCACCTCCGTGGCGTAACCTATAACGAACGCCTGCAACAGTTCGGTTCAGTTTCTACAACCATTAACCATGCCCTATCGTGCGGCTGTATTGGTTGCTGTCTTTTGGCTGCCCATTTAGATGAACATGAGGAGAAAGACAGGAAAGGTTGAAAGTAGAGTCGAAGAGAAAATTTAAGATTTCATTGCACTAATTTTGCAGAGAAATTCACAAGATGCACGAACGCCACTGTTCACGACACCTGGCCATAACACTCTGTCTCTAACCATCGGGTGTGATCATCCCGAGGTCCCTAGCCAGACAACCTAACGGGACCTATGTTACCCAGACTCCTGGTTAGGGTTTTCATACCCTCATGCCAGGTCTTAGCTTGACTACCCTTGACTTTCTTCCGCCCACTACTTTCCTCGGTGAACATCGCTCACCGTGGCAACCTATCTGGTGACATGCGCAACACATGCCCCAACGAACGTAAAATCTATAGAGGTCGACCACTTGCTGCAGTGGGCGACCGCATTTACCTAAAACTCTATGCCTAATCTCAGCATTGCTCGTCCGGCTATCCCACCAGACTCGTGCAATGTTGCGTAGATAGCGATATTAAAAAACCGACAGTCTATTTTTATCCTGTTTCCTTAATGGCTAATTTTCTGCGCCGTATAGCAGACTTGGCCGAACTGCTGCAGTATACACTCGATCCTTCACAGACAACCAGCAGTCGCGACGGCGCCACAGATGTTTCAAGTTGGAAAACGCCGATCAAGCTTTCTGTATGCGAGCTGACACTTCTTCCATGATGCGTCCACCGGGTGAGATATAGCTGCCCAAGTAGCAAAATTTACCGACTTGCTCTATTACTTCTCCAGTTAGGGTAGGACTAACCCAGTCTTGAAGTAACATTCCACTCTTTGAAGGTGCAAAACGCATACTGAACCTGGTTACACTAGCACTTAAACTATCCAGAAAGGCTTGTAACTTACCTGAATCTTCACTTAGTAGCACAATGTCGTCCACATATTCTAGATCAAACAGCTTGCCACCTGGGAATAAATCGATGCCACTATCCTCGCTCGAGAATAGGACTGTTTCCACAATCAGATCTATAACAAAGTTGAATGGAAAAGGAGAGAGAGCAGCCCTGTTGAACACTACTTTCCATGGTGGACTCGGGGGAAAACGTGCCGTAAGCTCGGACTCAACTTCGGCTATTAGTGTAGAGGGATTGTAATATTTAAATAAACTTCTCGGGCACACCTTTCAGAGAAAGGCAGCGCTAGATTTTAGAGCGGCCGACTGAGTCGAAAGCCGCTTCCAGATCCAGGAAAATAGAGTTGGTGGGTCTACGAAAGGAATTTCGCTGCTCCAGAGTTTGGTGAAGAGTGAAGATGTGGTCGATTCAACCTCGACCTGACCTAAAGCCAGCCTGGTTCTCACGTGTACACCCTTCACGTATGGCAAACAATCAACGGATTATGATCCCAGCGAGAAGTTTAGAGACTATGCGGATTAAATTAATTCCTCTGTGATTTCCATAACAGAATCTGTCACTTTTCCTGTAAATCGGTATGATGACCGATTCACACCATTCCGTTAGAACCTGTTCTCTTTTCCACACTGCAACAGCTGAAGCTTTTCTCACTCGAGCGGTGACCTGATCGAAACGTTCCGCGTTCTGACAGGTTTCTCACAAGGATCTCTCCATCGGAATGACATCCCCAGCAGAAGAGGACATAACATTAACTTAGAAAATCCCAGGGCAGTCAAACGCCTCAGGTTCTCCTTTTTCTCGTAGCGGGTAATGAATGCATGAAACAAGCGGCCTCAGGGGGTTTTGGCGTCGAAAACCGTTACGACGTTCAAGCAAAAACTTGACATATCCTGGGCAACAACGCATCCTGGTTCCATATGAAACCGGGTCTCGGATCACTAATAGCTGGTCCGTCTCCGTCCCCCTGCCTTCATTAACTATCTCATTCTCATCTTTCTACATTCTCTAACCCAATGTTCCTTCACTATTCATTACGCAGTATGTTGTAATTTCTCAACATTCACCACCACCTCCAGCACTCTTAGACCACGTTCTTCTCCCTGACACATCTGTAACTCTGGGTAACTCAGAGCGGAGGGTTGCGAGCCCTTACTTCGACCCTGGCAAAACCTCAGATGCGCACCGTCACTCCGAGGAACCATCCGAAGTGCGTTTTACTTTTCCAGAACTGCACTCAATCACAATCACCTGGATCAAATAACTCAATTTTCGCAGTGCCACGCTGCTCCCAAGCTGATTGGTACAAGAAAATGGAATACCTCTGGCTCCACCGCAAGTCCTGTGACCTGTCACGTCTTGTCCTATCCTTTCCTGTCCTACAGCGCAAACTCAAACAAGAGAACTAAGAACATTTTTGCCGGAAGATAGGTTGGAATAAATAATTCTCACCCGTTGTTATCGATATACTTGTATGATATTGGGAACTTGATTGTATTTCCCAAACAAAAGTCATGTTGCACGAGTTGGATTATTACTTGTATAGAAACCAAAGGACTGGGCGATGGCGGTGGTGGATTTGAACCCGAGACCTTCAGGTCTTTGGTTCAACTATATGTTACTCACTTCATCCCCGTCACCCGCACATAGAAAAGAAAACATTTGAGCTGCTTCAGTTTTGCTTATGTAGCTATCGGTATTGAAAAACTATGACGATGGTATACAGCTTGCGCAAGCATTTACTCTTTGATCTCTCTCGCACGCGCTCGCTCGCTTCTGCAACTAGTCTATTCCCGTTGATCTCAGTTCAGCTCAGTCCCTGTGACTTTCTTTATTTCCCCAGGCTGATCTCTGCATGCTTATGTTGTTACCGTTCTCTGTTTTCTTTTTCACACCAGACCTACTACGAAGTGATTCGGGCCATTCGCACAGCCAACCCGGTCACCATTGGTCTCTCAGCGTGCTGTATACTCATTATTGCCGTATTCAAAGTCTGGATCAATCCTCCGGTGACTAGACGCATCCGCGTCCCGATACCCATTGATTTAATCATTGTAAGTAGTTTATTTTGCTGTTCTGTTTACATTCCTCCTCCTCCCCTGTCCATGAATTCCTCCACTCGATAAAATTGAAGAGGAAGGGTTAAAAGAAGCAAATTACTCCCACGTTCCTGACGGGAATACTGAAATGATATGACACAACCTATGTGGATTTCACTGCATGTGCGAATACTTTTCAAGTGTAGATTGAAATTATTAGATAATGTTTCTTCGAGCTAGCAAAAGTTAGTTAATGGTTTGACAAATAAAGATTGAATCTCGCGGAAAGACACCAACTGTCCGTGAAAAACTTATTACTGTGTCTTATTCATAGGCAAGCTTCACTATTCGGTTTTAAGAGGCTAAACGTGTTCAGACGATGGTGCCCATCGATTGTCGTGTGGCAGGAGCGGAAATGAATGCTACCAGAGGCGTGCCTGGTTCATGCACTGAATGGGTGAGCGGGCGTGACTAAGCCGTGCTCGTGCTGACCGAATTTTCAGCCTTGGAAGAACAGGTTCAGTGCCCAAGAGTGTGGCGGGTTTTCGCTTGACAGTCATGTTCCTTACAAAGCATCACAAGTTTTATTGCGATCCTGTGAAGTGGAAAATGTGATTCATTGCTTGTAAAACAATTGTGCCTCTCCTATTTCATCTGTTTGACCTTGCTTTGTATGTATTTCCTGCACGTCTAAGTTCAGACAGTGGGCCAAACAAATCACGGTACAATAATCTTTATAAGAAAGGAAAAGTTCAATTATTTGCCTCCGGATGCGATAATGCCAGGTTTCCCAAGCCAAAGTAAGTGAATTTTCCTAGGGAATTTAAAACCGGAGCCTTTGACTAGTCGACGTTTGACACCCAAGTCAGCGGAACGGTGTGTGAAAATTGCAATCTGGTGTTCAGTTCATCGGATCACATACAATTTGAACGAGGTCAAACATCCAAGGTAGCCAATATACCTCGGTAAACAATCTAGTCGGTGCCCACAAATAAAACCAGGAAGGTGTGTGATTCTTATGCCTCTAGTTATT